GGAAGAAGAACTCATATCACTAGAATGCCTTTGAATTACGCAAATGAAAACACTGGAGTGACAATTCAGCGTTTCCAGTTCCCTGTGAGATTGTCGCATTGCATGACAATAAACAAGAGTCAGGGGCAAAAGTTCTGGAAAGTTGGCGTCTAGTGCGCATACCTTCGTTTGCGCATGGGAGCACGTTTATTGCCCTATCGCAGGCGCGGTCAAGGGAACATGTGCAAATTAGAATACATCCCCTTCGAAAATTGCGTCAGTCACAGAGAAGCAGGCATAATCTAATAATATAGAATAGTAACGGGTAATTCAAAAAGGCGTCACAGAGCGGGAAACCGCGGCGCGGTCCCGCAGCGACGCGCCTGAACTCAGCTCCTTTCCTTCAAGTTGAAGTTATCTACACTGAGAAATACGCTGGAGTCATCTTCAACACCATGTCACTTAGCTCTATCGTATCACAATTACGTACTATTAGTAATGCCATACGGCCCATATGATTGGGCAAATAATCATTTCCTCGTCACTTTGTATACACATGTTGATCGACAGAATCTAGAAACTCCGTCGAGGGCGAACATGTTGCACGTTATTCTTCACCAGATTCGAATAGCACGTTTCCGTCAAGCACCTATAGTTGCATATACCGCCAAAGTTGAATTTTCTTCCAAAAACAATCACAACAACACCAAAAGGAAATTACAACAACACCAAAGGGACCTCTATTTGCTGGTGCCGACACATCCACACATTCAAGGCATGGGCAACACATTTCCTTTATCATATATCACGTAATCCTTCGAGAGTTAATGAGAGAGTAGTATGTGGCGTACGAGTGTGGCTGCGATACCGTTGATGTAACGGCAATCACCAACCTTCATTCCGTAGTTCATCAATCATTGTATTAGAAGTGAACGTTTTCCCGCATCCTTCTTTGCCATAAACATCAAAGGATAAACGATTTCTATCTGTATCCCTAGACTTCGCCGTAGCGACAGCTTTCATTACGATCACTCGTTGTTTCGCATTCAAAAGGTTCACTTGACTGTTGTCCTCAGTTGAGTCAATAGCTGTATCAAACGCATTATCTTCTCCTCCAGGGATTTCTGTGGAACCACATTCTTCAATAAGTTCGAGAACTGCTTCAACACCACAATCCATCATCGACGTCCCATTTGCAGTTATTATAAGCTTGATAAACTTCAAAGACTTCAAATCTTCCATACTACATCTGTCAGTAAGCATCCCCGCTCTGGACTTCTGCCATAGCTCCGGAGCGTTTGATGGCTTGCAGTAGAGAACTACATGTGCAGAAAGACGTCGTACTTCCGAGGGCATGTCTGTCAAAGATGCACTACGGAGGCATTCTTCCCATTCGGAGCTCTTATTGCAACCTGCGGCTTGGACAGCTTCCACAAAAGTGAATAAGTATTGCGGTTGAAAGTTCTCAAATTCTCAAAGGATTGAACATTTTTTCTGTACAATAGAAACTCCCTGACAGCGTACAATTCTAAAAGTTTTGAAATGACTGACGACAATCTAGCTACGCGTAATCATCTGCCTTTGAAAAGTATTCGGTTGGCGGATAATTTCTGTTACCCTCGGCTCCTAGATTGCCGCGAGGGCGGGTACGGGCGAGCG